TTTCTCACTGGAACCACTGGAATGCTGGAAGAATCTGGACGTCCAGTGGGGTTCCAGTCTTCCAGTGACAACACTGAATATGAACGTCTGCACGCGTGTTCAAATTTGTAATTTAGTATAACAAAAACATGCACATTCACGCGTTTGAGCAATGACGGACATATAATGCTACGCATTTTCCTAGTGATAGATAGAAAAAAAAGAAATCAATATATAAACCACACTAAACCTTTATTATCCATTGTATAATCACCATTAAATTTTCATTAAACATATATCACAAAACACCTTTGGTAAATACGTATAAGCGCCCATGGTGAATAATAGCCTGAATTAAGCTTAAAATTCGAAATTACACTCCTGGGTATGAAAGATATGAGATATTGATTATAACTACAACGATATCCTTCTTACAATGTATAATTATCATATCATAAAAACGCGAAAAAAACGCGTGTATTTGTTATAATAAAAGTATAGCATATGAATTACGCGTATGAAAATAGTTACATAAACATACAATAATATATATCGTACCAAAGTTTAATTTTAAAATATATATAATATTCATAAAGTTAGAACAAAAATACATGCCACTTGGTTCAAATGGTTTTTGAATTTATTAAACACGAAACGTTCAATTTTTTGTGACTTAACATGTCGAATAGTCGCTCCGTAATTTAAGATAAAAGCATCAATTGTTACATTACTGTATTACAAAAGTTATTTTATATTTTAACATTTCTGTCGAGAAATTCATGTAATTTTTTTCCATTTTCAACGCCAATTAAAATTTGCAACTCTCTTAAAGATAATTCGGTTAGTTCACGTAAATTATCAACTTTTGACATAACGTGTTTATAGTTTTTCGCTGTTATCCCGGGCAGCGTGCGAAGAATATCCTGATCATAAAAATTTCATAAAAATTTCACATGAATATGTACATATAAAATTACAAAACCAAACGGGTAAAAAAAATTATTCACCTGTGGCGACAAGTTATAGTCTGGGAAATCATCATTTTCTACCCCGATAGACTGTGCAGTTTCAAGGTCAGGCTCACCACGTGATTCCTTTTAAATTAATTATTAATTGAAGAACTATCTATTAATTTTTTGACCAAGTTATCAGACTATACTGGTATAATTTACCTTTAAATCTTCAAATATTTTGACAGTTGCGTGAGGACTTGAAGACCAAATTATTTTTACACGAGGAAATGTCAAAGTAAGCAATACTAGTTTTGAAGAAATATCATTTATGTTGATGTCAGACTTTAAATCACTTATTGCCTAATGTAAATTTAACGATTGGAATAAAAATTAGTTTATACCACATTTTTTTTATAATAGCTATTAGAAAATTTAAAAAGGCTTACTTGAAGTGTAAACGTTTGATTTTGTTCAAACTCAATTAATAACACGGGTTGTTTATAGTATATTGACATGGTTTCACATTGTGTATATCTTTGATAAAAATTCGGAATATATTAGTTTATGTTATTCTTAACAGAATAATTGGCAATACTCACAGTCTTCCCGAAACAAAACTTCCAATTAAGTCAGAGATTGATTTTCTTTCGACACAAATATCTGGCGATAAAATATAATCACCAACTTTTAATGTACATGGAAGAATTTCTACTCCGTGTGCATGAAGAAGTGATGGTAAACTGCTACGAAATTCTCGAATGTCTACTACAATCTAAGCACATCAATTTAAAATTAAAGTAGTTTCAAAGATAGATACAATATTTTCTAAGACTTGGTAAATTGCTTTTACCTTATGTGCAACTGGCTGAACAATTTCTCTTCCACCTGCTATACGAGTATTAGTTGTCCTCAAAAACATATCATCTGGATTACGCGAAATAATTCTTGGTTTGCCTAAAGGAATTGCCATTATCTTTGTTTAAACAGTAAAACAATTATTATTATCACGTAAAGTACTATGCCTATAAAAGTTTATCAAAATGTAATTTAACGAAAAAATGTGACCCACAGATTTTTCATAAATCAGTTTTTCAAAAGCTTCTTTTTCTTTTCGTATGACGCTTAAATATCGTTGTTCTTCTACCGAATTTTTGTAAACCATGAAATATACTTTGCATGATATTCCAGGATGTATTGCGCGGAATGTCTATATTATAATGAACAATCGCGTCAATTTATAAGTTTAGATAAAGACATGATTGATCTATTACCTCTACGCGCCTAACAAATCCTTGATCCGGGTGATAGATAATTATATATTTAGGCTTTAGCGCCTCTAACATTCTATCATCATCTCCAGAAATTGGTCGAATAATAACTAAAGATTGCAATGGAAGAAGTCCAAAGTATGTTGAAAATGCTTTGGCATCAAATTCATCATCATCATATGTCCCACTAGTTTTTGGAGCTTCCTTTTGTACGGAGCTTGTAGCAAAGGATGTAATATTGCTATTGATACTATGTAATGACATAATATTAGGCAAAAAGGTATATAAATTATCAAAACAAATAATATAAGAATTAATGCATACAAATTTGCTATTTCTTTGGCTTCTTCTTCAATTATCGAGACAGTGGTTCGCGTTGACGACATAGCAGCAGCTATTGATCCTCCACGAACACGCCTTCGTTTGTTAGGTGGTTGTTGTCCACGTTGATACTGTTTTTTTGGCTCTTTTGTTTTGTCATAAATAAATAAAATAAATAAATAAATAAATAAAATATATATATATATATGTATTAACATGACTAGCATTAATATTCGATTACAAATACCTGAAGATGTTGCCGTTTGATTATTACTCTCTTGATTATCCTCACTTTGAGCAGAATCTTTTGATGGATTAAACAAATTTTCGCTTACTTTGGCAATATCGCCTTTCCATTTGAAATAATTCCGTAGCAATCGTCGTAACAAAGGCCCGCCCCGTCCTTGACCTTCTTCTAATCCTTTATGCATCGTAGAAAGATATTCACGTAATTGAGAACATTCGCGCTCATTTTCAGCCATTATCAAAATAATATTATTCGATTCTTCATAATATTCATACCATACAATATATGATATACAGTTAAATAAAATGATCATTTAACATACGCAAAAAATATATATATATACCTTCATCAGAAGGTGGGAGGCCTGATAGTGACTCAATTTCGAGTTCTACCTCATTAACTATATCGGCCAACAACCCCCATTTCGGTAATTCTTCCAATACTGGTACAATTCCTGGTGGATGCCCTAAATTGTCTGGTTTTTTTCCTTTTCTTTTATCACCATCATTATCATCGTTATCATCGTTATCATCATCATCACGTTCTACAATGTTCCTTTGAGTTTCTCTAAGATATACGCGACTTTTGGCCACCTATTTTATAATAACGTTATTCAACTGTAATTAAAAGGTTTAGATGTATCAAATTATGATATAAAATTAAAATTTAAACACACAGAGAATATAGTGTTTCCAGCGTCCATAAATATCCATGATGATTGTTGCTGCTGGCTCAGTGTAGATGATGGGGTTTGACTCGCTAGTATAGTTTCCAAAAAACTATGAAAAGTCACGCAATCATAGCTCACCAGATATCTATTAAAACATATGATTACTAAAATGTATTTGCATATAGACATAAAATCTTTTGATATGACGTACGTGAGTAACTTTCGTAACATTGTCAAATCACCGATCAGCAGCTTTGTCTTCTGTCCAACACGATGCCACACTGGATCGAGTTGTTGTCTTATTATATGATCAAAAGATCTAAAAAAAGCTTGCTCTACAGTTAAATCCTCGATGTCTAACTAATATCACATGATGTGATAATAAATAAGCGTGAAATTGTTGACAGTTACGAATACATTGTACGGCCATACTCAATAAAATACCCAAGCAATATTTGTCTTTCTAAGTTCTGCTACACAAGCTTCAATACACTCAAGAATAGCTGTCTGTATCTCATTCATTGAATTAGATAAATGGTGATACAATTCAATCACTTCAACCTTTCGCTCTTCAAGGCACTCACGTATAGTCACATGAAACCTTTAAAATAAATTAACAATAAATAAATAACCATTTGGCTTTTTAAAAAAATATAAATGAAAGAACAAAAAAATATAATCGTCATAATAAATACCGGGGCCATAAAAACACTTTGCGTAATTGGAGATACTGTACAGTTGTTTGTAATGGTGAAAAACCAGTAAAGGATTCAGGAGAGTCTGAAAACGCTTTAATAAATCCTTCCTGATAACAATAATGGTAACTAAAAAATAAGCATATACACGTCGAACTCAATTATAAAATATATCCACATAAAAGATTACACGCCTGATTTTCCTCTTTATATACCCTCAATATGAATGCTTCTATTGACGTTTCATTTACCCTGACAAAATTTTATATATTTTAAGTTGTTTTTTATGATAAAATAGCTAAAGTATCACTTTACATAAAACAACGTTAAGTTTACCTCTCTGCATGGTTCACTAATATTCCAGTAATAAGATACGAAGGAATTCGTTTTGTCAATAGGTCCACTATAAGAATTCGAGAGGTGATCGATATGATACCACCTGAGAGATACAATTCAGATCTACAGAGAATTTACATACTCTTTGAAATAATATCTTTTTATTGTAAAACATTTCTGATTGATTTATACAATATCTTATTACTACTTTAAAATACCGAATCCTACAACAAATAAACATCACTAAATTACGACAAACTGAGAGTGGTGCTTATTTGCGGTAAGATAAGGCATTCCTAGGCGTCTTTACAAATTTTAACTTTCTAAATAATGACTAAATTTTGTAGGATAAAGGTACCAACCTCTCTTTGGTACCCATTTCATTATTCACAACTCTCAGGCCAGGCTTTCTAACGCCCATTTCTGCAAGTTCTTCCTTTATAATAATTTCTTCATTTGCGGGAGTATTTAACAAAATTACCAAATGACTTGTATGAGAGTATATTTTAAGGAGTGCACATATTATACGTCTTAAGCCTAAGCCACGACTAAGGATCAAGAAACCATCTTCAGCTAAAAGTTCATTTAATATTTCGCGTTGATATTGTAGAGGAAGGTCTGTCGCGATGGAAGCCATGTATATCAGCTAGAAATCAAGTGTAAATTTGAACATATTACAGCAGAAGTTCGTTTTGATTGGTTGTTAAGATACCCGGAAAAAATGTCGATCATACCCCGGATAGAGTACCGGCTAATCCCGGACAAAAATTTTATAACTTTTAAAAAGCAAGAAGCTGATCAAAAAACTCGCTAAAAAATATGATGCATTTTTAGCGAGTGAAGCTTTGATTAAACAAATTCCAAGATTATTAGGCCCTGGATTGCACAAGGGTATTTATAATGTTATAACGTTCTTTGAAAATAATAAATTTATTTATCATGTTTTTAATATTCAATTTATTCATGTCTGTACCAGCCGGTAAATTTCCGACTCCGGTTAATCATAACGATGATTTAAATTCCAAAGCTGAGGAATTACGTTCAACAATCAAATTTCAACTTAAAAAAGTTCTTTGTCTTGGCGTAGCAGTTGGCCACGTTCAGATGACCGAAGACGAATTGCTTGCCAACATTATGATGAGCGTTAATTTTTTGGCTCTTTACTCAAGAAGCATTGGCAAAATATTAAAAGTTTGTACATTAAATCATTAATGGGTAAACCTCAACGTTTATTTAATAATTAGAATGTAAGTAGAATAAATGATTTTCTCAAACGGCAATTACCAAAGTTATCATAGTAAATATTTCGTAAATGATAATTATTGGGAGCTGAAAGTTTACACTTAGATGATTTCATTCGAAGAATCAAAGTATTTGAATAAATTGATACATTAAACATAACAGATACATTATTATAATGGTAAACATAAATTTAATGTTGATATAAGTTCAAGCAGTTAATTGAACGACCGAGCTATCCATCGTCACCATGGTAAGCACACCCCCATGATTTATTTTCCTTATCTTCTTTATCTTCGACATATTCTTGTCCTAAGATATATTATGACACAGCATTAATATGTAATAATAAAAAAATAGTCTGTTATTACCAGGCATGAAATCGCCTATATTACTTTGTTTTGTACAATATCCTACTCCAATCATATATTTTTTACGGGCTGGTACCCAAGAAAGAAGCAACGTTCCAATAATGCCCTTTCTTTTTTTTTTTAATGATAAAATTCATATTCGTTAAGTTTCTCCTAACGATTCTTTCGGCTTCATTGAGGCATCTTTCTAGGTCAGCGATCTTAATATCTCTTGCGGCGATGTCACTATTTTTTGTGGCGATATCACGCGTAAGCTCTAAATTAATTTAAAACGTAGTTAGTACAAATAATGCTAATTAATTGAGTATATTAAATTTTATATGTACCATCAACTCGAAACTTTAGCTTAATTTATCAATTTATGTTAATAAAGAAATAAATAAATAGAAATAAATATAATAATAATAAATAAAAACCTCAGTGTTCAAAGCAAAAATAGAGGTCATAGCTCCGGTTATAATATTCTTCATGGCGACGTCTAAAGAAGGATCATTTATTCCAATTTTTCTGCCGGCCTTTGAATGTGAGCCAGGATCCTTCTCTTTTTTGAGATCACAGTGCACAAGGACGAGAACATCCTCCCTTGATTGCATCGTAACATCAGAGTGAGTTTGCACATCAACCATTGAAACGTCGGACTCTGAAGAATACTAGAATAGTAAATTTGGTCAAAACTAAATTATTAATTTATGGAAAAAAAAAAAGCTGATTAATCTACAGGCATTCTAGTTCTCTCTGGAGTATCGGTTTCCTCAGTTATGGTTTCCTCGGAACCTTTTCCCCGCGACTAATATGTATAATAACTTTGTAAGTAACACCAATGCTATTAAATGAAAAAAAATATAATTACCATTTCTACGTTTGAATCTTGTTCTATGAGCCTTGAACGAAGTTTCATTGATAAGAAATCAATGAATTGCTTTGATATTTATAAGGGCGCTGACAGATATTACGTAATATCTTAGGGAATGTCTTACGTTACGCTAGGTGATCAACACTCTAATAAATCAAATAATAGTTACATACGGATTTTTTAAAGGTTAATTTCACATACGAATTTACATATGAATTCACACTGATTTAGGTACACTTTTTTACCTAACATACAAAATCGCATCGTATTTTTTTTTAAACTATAGTTCTAAACTTTGCTCTATACTGTAATAGAACCATTTTTGCAATAAATTTTCATAAAATTAAATAATTTTTTTTTAAAAGTTATTACAAAACTGGCTCTATTACGGCACAGAGCTAATCTAGAACTATAGTTTAAAAAAAAAAGCGATGCGATTTTGTATGTTAGTTAGGTAAAAAAAGTGTACCTAAATCAGTGCGAATTCATATGTAAATTCCTATGTGAAATAACCTTTAAAAAATCCGTTCACATATAGTACGTAACTATTGTTTGATTTATTAGAGCGTTGATCACCCTTAGAAACTTCCGAATTTTATTGATATAGTAGGATCTTCAACATAGATGTTACACAAACGTGCATGATGATCGACAAGCCGGCACAGATTCAAATTTCGCCGGCCTAAACCTCCCCCCAAAGTTCGAAACGTTTCGCCCAGAGGAATTTTAGTTTCTCCTTATAAAACTAGTTTCGCCCAATTTGATCTGCAAAATCGGGTTTCTCCCGAAACACTGACTCTTTATCACACAATATTTATCACCATCTAATAGTTTGGAACCGGTTTTATTTTTCATATGTTAAAACCGGTTTTAATTGGTTTTAACATATGAAAATAAAACCGGTTCCAACCTCTAACAGGAACATAATCGATATTTTAGGCATCAGTGTTGATAAGGCTATTATGTCCAAACCAATTGGACTAAAATTTTACAACACTGTTAAGAAAATATAACGTAACTCTCTTGGGCGACCTCCGAAGCAATATAGGAATTTCCCTGATATGCTTGCTTATATTATAATAAAATATATCTCAAAGGTTTTAGATTGTAATTAAAAAAATAATTAGCGTTAATAATTTTTATCATAATGATGGAAAAAAGGAAGAATCGCACTCCAAATATATTAATACATTAGATTTATTTACTGTATATCTCTATAGATACAATTTTAAGTCCAATAATAATATCAAATCATATTTAATAATGTACTACTAAAATAATTTATGGATGAAATTTCAAAAAACTACATAACCTTTGTATACATATACACTATTCGTCTATATATACAGTCATTGGTATCAAAAACATAAGTTCTATAAAAACAGAATAAAATAATAGACATCTAAAATCTTTAAATTAAGGCGAAGAAAACACATCAACATTGTATAACGGATGTGGTAAATCCTTTATTAATTCTGTAGTTGGAGATGGAGATGACATAGGTGGAGTAGATATTGGTGAACCTACTTTACTCTCAGAATTGAATTTTAATAAACTATTTGAACGTGATGCTATTGATGAAGTTGCTGATAAAGGTGATGTAGGGTCAGAATTTGGTGTGTTTACTCGAGATGAAGGTGATGGTGGCACATTGTCAGGTTTTATTCCTAATGAAGGAATAGTTTCATGACGATCATAAGGTGTGAAAGAGGAAAAGAAGGTTGTAATTGTTTGCCGTGGCGACCGTGGCTCGGTAAATAATGATGATGCGGCCGAATTTGAAGTTACCAAATTGTTGTTCTCTGAATTTTCTGACAGTGACAATGCAGAAAATGACTCCATTTCGCGTAAACTTGGTTCTTCAATATTGTCTGCAATCTCTACAGGCGACATACTTTCGCTAATACCCAAATCAAAATTTGATTTTGCGAGGTTTGTCACGTTATAATATGCACTTGTCCCAATACTTAGAGTGGCCCTTGCTAAATTATTAGCATTATTCATGAATTTATCTTTAATTGTATTGAAATTGTTGTTTCCCATTCTAATACTATTACTTTTCCACGGGTCAAAATAAGGGCTATCCTCATATGAATTAACATGTTTGCTAAGTGGTGACGATAATGATGGTGATGGTGTATCTTCTTTCCAGGCATTTCCATCAATAGTTTCGTGATTTGAGTTAACGTTCGGGGACGCTGGTCGTGAAACAGGGCTACTAGGGCTATTCGATCTCCACCTCATCCTTGCTGCAAATCCTTCAATTTTTTCTTCTTTGACTTCATCATTATTACAATTTAATTCTTCGTCCTGTTTACCAAACAGTCCTGCCCAATATTTAACGTTTTTCTCATCGGGAAATAATACACAATCATCATCACCATTACCTTTAGAAATAGCCTTTTCGTCATATAAAGGATTAAGAAACACTTCTTTATGTGAATTAAAATAATCCCAAACTGAGTATGTTTGAGTTGTAACTTTATAGTCCATTCTTTCCTTTTCCGAATTGCATAGGAATGTTCCAAATTGACATGAATAACAATGGTAATGTAATTTGATCAAAAAATTTTCATTGAACTCAAATTTTGTAGGAAATTGAGATAAAATTTGGAATACACAGTCCAAAAATTGGTGGAATACTGGAGATATTTCTCGAACATGAGATTGCTTTGAGAATTTACTTTGTACGGAATTAAACGTTGAATTAGAAGTATTAACAAAGTACTTTTCATTAGAAAGGTGACCTGAACGATCACTAAATTTATGGCCAAATGATACCCATTCTTTTTCAATTAGAACTTGGAACCCCCTGAAAGTGCGATAATACGGATCAAGGCAAAGTTCAGAAAGTGAAGTCAATTGTACCGTACGATCCCATCCATCTGAACAATGAACAAGTACATGGGAACCAAAAATGTGCACATTTTTGATTATTATAAGGGCTGATTCCAATAAAGTAGTAATGTGTCTGAGCCAGCCGGATTTATCTAGATGTTGCTTTTTAATTGGCAAACAATTAGAATCTGCAGTGTGTATTACTACAAAAATTTTTGCACGTTAAAATTCTATTACAAGTAATAAATTAAAAAAAATCTTTACTAAACACATATAAAACGAATATAATTTACCTTCGACCATTTTCCCTAAGCTTTCTCTCATTACGTGGATATTGTCAATGCCCATAAACCTTCTCTCACAATATTTGTAGTTGTCTACGCTCTCCGTTCCTGCACCCATCGCCACATTAACCATTGCATTAGCTGTTGGGCGAGCGTCAATAATTAAATTTATCTGTGTCACTCTTTCAGATAAAGTTTTAATATTAGATCGAAAAATAGCTTCAATGAGTTTTTCATCCTGTATTGAACGATTCTGTTTAAGTCCAACCATTGGTTGACTAGAACGAGTTATAGAAGCCTGATAAAATAAAATAAAATAATCATTACTACAAAATATATATATATATTTAAGCTTTGCTTACGACTAACCTTATTATGCCAATGTAAATAACTCAACACCGGTATGCGATTCTTACTCCGGAATTTTGATGCGTGGTTTAAAACATTATCACTAATTTTGGCTGGAACCACCAAAATTCTTGGGTACGTTGCACAAAACTACATTAAGGTTTAATACGTAAATGGAATATGGATGCGTAAGTGCGTTCGTGAATTGGTGAACTGCAAATAATGTAACAAATGAAGCCAAAAAAAAAAAAGAAGAAATCTCATACTGTATAACTTCGATTCACATTTGAAAATCTCCACGATCCAGTCGCGTTATCAACGCCCATTCGATCGTATTCATGAAGTACATCATAGACAGACCAGCCATCCGATGACGGAAATTTTTTTTCAAGCATATGTTCAAAAGCATAAACTTGTCTGATAGAACCTTTTAATTCAAATAGATTAGTAGTTAAGGATAATCAACAAAAAATTACAAAATATATAAAGAAAGATGTTACATACCAATACATGTTAGTTTTTGTATTTTATTAAAAATATCAGTCGCATCGTCTTGTATTTCCACAGAGAATGTGTAAATGCTAAAATCACGACAGCGAATGGTTATAGGCCAAAATTTGGGTTCCGTCGTGGGAGGACGACGCTCAACGGTATGGATAAGTGGATACAAGATCTAAACATTCGGTTTGAAGTTTAAATATAAAAAAGTATGAACTTTATGATTTGTAAACTACATTGAAAACATTGATTTTTTAAAGGCATACACATTCGTCCTTTTGATCCGGGGATCTAAAGATCATTTGATGTGTCGTTAGATAGAGAGTGCCAAACACTGCAAACCGTCCTCTTTCGAGTAGGACATCTTCAACCTAGAAAATGAGACGAAATCAGCAAAGTATTTTCCTCTTCTTAGATTAATCATCGCCATTTTCGAAAATGAACCTTTGTTATCTTTGAAAGGTCCATTTCTACAGTACTACACTCTACACCGGTAAACAATGGCTTTTGTTTTTTTTAAAGTTTGAGTGCTTTCAATTTAACGTTAATGTAAAACAACAATCACCAATGTGTGACGTGTGACAAACACATCATTTGTGAAGCGTAATTTGTCTAGACTCGTAGAAGTTAACATAAAGTGCTCTGGAACGGGTGCTCATGAAAAGACATTCTTTTGATTGGCTAATGCAAATCAATTGCCCGGGTAACTTATTTATACATTTTAAAGTACCTTTTGAAAACGTAATATTTCACTAGTAAAAAACTTCAAACGAGCGTTAATATTTACCATGCAAACGAATTCAAAAAGAATCCAAGACTTGTAAACAATTATGTAATCACTATATATGTAAAAACCAGTCGTCATAAAATTAAAAAACGTTATTAAAAAGGGACGAACTAACTAACAATATTACTTTCTTATTCACCGTCTCTTTACACGTTATTATTAATTATTTCTCCAGACTTATTGGCTACCTCCCCAATACAAAAGCGCCAGCACCGGCACTATGTTTTAATAGTGCAGGTCACGGGCATGGCTTTATGTCTTAAGAGCGGTATTACAGAGACCTAATTATTAGTAATCTGAGTCTCCATATGTCGTCATATGAAACGATAACAGATAAATAATACATATTCGCCACTTATTTTATTATTCGGGACACCAGATGATCAGGATGTACCTTTTATTCCCGCCGTTGCGGGGAATATTTCCGCTGTCTCGGAAAATAAATAGTACTTTATTCAAATTGGTGTTAAATTGTTAGAATAATAGTACTGTAGTTAAATTTTAATAGTATGCTTATTTCTTAAATTATCCATTATAAATTTAAATGCTAAAATGTTTTGTAATTGCATTTCTGCATTTACATGCTGGGGTTGTACTGTATAATTTTTATCTTGTTAAATAATATTCTAGAAATCAACCATATAGGTTAATTATATTCTATATATTTTTTATTTACAATTAAATTCAATATTAAAAATAAACATGCACAATTACAGTATATTATTATACAGTATAATATTTTTTTAAAAAAAAAAATATTTATACTTTATTATATACTACTGTATATACTGTATATACAGTAATACAGTATATACTTATATACAAATAAATTGATACTGCTCTACATATAAAAATCAAAATTTTACTAAAGGTGTTCTCAAGCACCTCAATCAAAATTTTAATTATCGGAAATTAAATAAATGAATTAAATGAGTTACCATTCCGATGACAAAATCAGGGAGACACAA